CTGCACTGGCTCATGAGGTGAGGCATCCAGGCACACTGAGGGAAGATGCCCACCCAGAGCTTTACCTATGCCTCCTATTCTCCTTATGATCGTATCCAGTGAGCACAAAGAGCTTCTATCTACCATGATATGTGGTATTAAATTTTTGTCTAAGTTGTTGGTGTAAGGAATATTCATAATTTAGGATGAAAAGTGAACAGAGACTAAATAAACACAGCAATCATTCTTAGTAGATGGTAATGTATTTACAACATAGAACAAAATACTGTGGAAATTATAAACAGGCAAGTTAAAAAAAGTGATGAAAATAAGTAAAGTCAATTATTAACCAAAAAGTGTTTAACATATTCTGAGTAAAAGATCAGAAAAGGATTATTGTTATAGTTGTTGCTGTCATTATAGGTAACATTGCACTCAGCAAAGGGAATAGACCAGTTGTCAGTTGTAGTCTTCAGTCCCTCTATTTATCTTTGCATTTTAGTTGTTTTGTTTTATTTTAATATAAGCTCCCTGATCTTATATGTGGACTGCATTAAGCATTCATCTATTCAACTTCTATCTATTGAACAACTTACCTTTTGACAGACAGTTGAGTTAATAACTTTGTTCCACCCCTCTAATCTTCCACCACAATGCTTGGTGGGCATTGTTACTGCTCTGTAATAGATGATAAAATGACTCATGGAGATAAGCAACTCACCCAGGGTTGCACTTATAGTACATGGAAAAGTTAGCCTTGAAATCTGAGTCTGGCCTGTTTGTTTGAGAGACCTCCTTGCTTCTACAAAAGATAGTATCCATGTCTGTATGTGTGTGCACATGTGTGAAAACAAAACACACACACTCCAATCTCAGGGAAATGAAAAGTCTGGGTCTTGTCACTTTACTGTGCCTTGGAATCCAGATTTTTTAAGCTGTGATTCTGCTACTTAACTTTACTGATTATTTGCTATTGTTTGTTCTCATAACGTCACACCGAAGGTCATTCTCTACCATGGAAATCCGTATGAGAAGAAAGATTTGAAATAAGTTTACTTTATGAAACGGAAGCATTTCTTCTGTTTCCTTTTGTTCACTTATTTTTTTTCTTTTAAGTAAAAAGAGAAAACATTTTTTGTTCTGTCCTCTTTATTTTAATATTGATTGTTTTACTTAAATAATGATAATCAATTTTTCATGCAAGGTTTCCATCTCAGCAGACAAATGCATTTAGATGGGCACACACACTAAAAAGCTTTGCTTCTGTTTCTGTGATTAATTGAGATGCAGAGAGTGATGGGTGTGGAGTAAAAATAGAAATGCAATTAGTGCAACTAGGCATGAAATACGTTCAAATACAAGCAGAATGTCTCCCCAGTTACTGATCTCTTTCGGGGCTCTGGAGGATTTGCATTCCATTAGTAAGTCACTGGAATGGAAATCTTCAGACTTTAGGGAGACCAGAGCATTAAGAAAAATGGAATTAACTTTAACTGCAAACTGAGTCAGCACAATAGGCCATTAATTCTTCTGCTTGGGTGTATATCATGCTGAGCTTTGGTGGGCGGGCTTCTGAAATGTTAGGACTGAGTTTATAAAGCATTGCAAGGACTAAATGATGGTTATCTATCATCCCAGACTTTGCCCTCACCACTGGCAAACTGATATCTACTGTGACTCAAAACCAGTATTGAAATATAGGCAAACATGTTTGCTAAAACCAATGGATATGGACCTTTACTTAGAAAAATTGCATACAGTCTATTTTAAGAAAATTAATTTATGTTGCACTTTATGGAATATCAATCATTCCTAGTATTAAAAAATCCTTGTCCTCAATTGATAGGAAAAAAATCACAATGCCTCAAATATTATCATTTCAAATTGAGAAATTCCATCTTTCTGTATAGCTCCATAACCAATAGGAGTTGACTGACTTTGCTTTCTTTAGAAATAAGTAGTTTTACAGATATTTTAAAGTAAATTTCTAAGTATAAAATGTATTGAAATATTTTGTATTTTCAAGCTACCTATGGCACTCCTGATTTCTGATCATCTTCACTTTCTTCCCTTACTGTGCTCTGCATCCTCTTTGAGAATCTCAATCTCTAACAGATATCATCTCATTTGATCATCCCTGGGAAGGACAATTGTTAACAACTGCCATGCAATGATTGCTTACCACAGGATTTCTCACACTTGGCAATACTGACAGTTGGCTCTGGATAATTCTTTGTCATGAGGGCTACCCTGTGCATTGTGGGGTATTTAGAAAGATTCCTGGCCTCTGTCCACTAGATTCCAGGAGCAACTCCCCATACTAGCAATGTCCCTTGGTGTCATAAATCTTCTCTGATTGACTAGTTTATCTTCTACTAGATAGTATTTCATTTGATTCTACCAAACTTTGCAAAATATGTAAGACTGTGTTAATCAGAGTCTTGGCAGGAAACAGAACCTACACAGTATGGATCATAGACTTACGATGCTTAGGGATGTTGAGGCACGCAGAAAATAGCAATAACAGGAAGCAATAATAGCAATAATTCCCTCCCCTGGGATTGAAGAAGCAAGGAGAGGAAACAATATTCCTGGAGTGCTGGGCAAGGTGGAGCCAGGGATCAGAGGCTTCCAGAGGGAGATGAATGCAGAGGAGACAAAGCTGATGCAGCACTTGTAGAGGAGCGAGCATAGGACATTCTGGTCCCTCCCTCCTCCTCAATCTTTGGATCACTAGCCAGTCCTACCAGTAAATTGAGCACCAATGAAAGAATTGAATTCCACCAGCAAAGGACTAGACTGATGCAACCCTAGAATTCAGCCTCCATGAGCCCAGGTATCCAATCAGATGGTCACAGCCCTGTGAAATAAGGAAGGTGTTAGTTAGACTTCTATGTTTCACAATGAAGAGTCGGGCTCAGAAAGCACTGGAATCTCACTGACAACCCCACAGCTGGAAAGTGGTGTCATGTGGACTCAACTCCACGTGTTTCCACTGAAAACACAATTCCTTTTCTGCTCCACCTTTTGAAGTGGTTAATCAATTGATTTACTCCCTCTGGACAAGTAACCTATAGTTTAATCCATTTAGGGTGCATCATAAAATCATGCCTAAATCCAAGTCTCAGAATCTGATATTTGTTCTACATATCCATTTAGTTAGGGATTCCTATTTATTGGTTATAGCTTTTCAGAGGCAAAATTGGTGTGATTAGGAGAATTTTAAAATAAATATTTAAAGAAAAAGTCTAAGTAAATTAATACAGTGTGGGAGGCCCAGAAAGTGATAAATTTTAGGGGTGCAGTCATTGAGCTTTTTGTTCTCGATCCTCATTTCTTCCCTCTCCCCATTTTCTACTTGTACAATATTTTCAGGACCCCATTTTTTACTTTTTTCAATATTTTCAGTCACAAAATCAGTTGTAGAACACACAAAAAATTTAACTTGTTTTATTTTTTGCAACTGAATATTTCTTTCAAATTCTTATTTCACTTAGCCAGTTCCAAGAAAACCTAGAATACGTGGGTTCTCGGTTCAAGGAGAAGCTGCAGAGAAGTGGTGCAGGTCTGAGGAGAGCATTGAGGGGAGGGAGAGAACAAAGATAAAAACTTAAGTAGAAATATTTAAAGTCTAAAAGCAAAATAAATAAAGAGATAAATAAACTTTTAAGTTCCACCTGTGATACTATTTGTAGTCGGTACAATACAAAATTCTTTCAAAGAAAGCATTCTCACAGATCAAAAAATCTGACTAAATTATAACATTGTGTCTGGTAGAGATGATTAACAATACTTTGGAAAAGCAGTTTTTATATTTTTTAATGATATTCGGACTTAAGGTGGAGGAGCAGTATTATCGGTAGTTAGAAGACTGGACTTGAGCTAGACTACCTGTTACAGCTTCCGGCTTCACCCCAGTTTATCTATGACCTTGGGCAAGTTACTTACCCTCTCTCTGTGTTTTGTTTTCACACTGATATATAATCAAGGTATAAATAGAGTCTATGCCATATGGATTTTTTTATGCTTAAACAAGTTAATATTGACAAAGTGCTTAGAGCAGTTTGTCATAGAAATCAATCATTATATAAAATTTAGCCATAGTCAGAAGTCATTATATAAATGTTAGCTATCACAATATAAATCAGTGGAACATAGGAATCACTATATAAATTTTATATAAAATATATAATGTAGAAATCACTATATAAAAGTTAGCAAACATCAGAAATGTCTTTTCCATCATCATCATCATCACCACCACCACCACCATCATCATCATCATTGATTTCTACTATACAGAAATTCAATCCAATGTTTCCATTTTTCTAAAAGATCATTACTTAAAAACATAATAAATCACGACTAATTATAAAGTATCACTATTTTAAATAGTTTAACCGAAGAAAGAACAACATATATATGAATAATGTGCATTTGTATTTCAGAACATATAACCTAACTCATAACTTTTTAACTCTAACACTTGGCCACCCTTCCTTTCTAATTCATTGTATCCTCAACGTACAGAAAGTTTTATTTAAAGTGGTCAGAATGAGACATAAATTATATGCTACTGAGGTGTCTTCTTACTACCAGAAGTCAGGCCAGAGTCCCTGAAATCACATTAGGGCACTGTTTTTGTGGTTATTGAGTTTCACCCTTGAGAAAATTAGAAGGGCTGACACAGAAGGATAATAAATCTTACTCTGACCCAAACATATTTAGTGATTAAGTTTCCTGCTAACAATTCAATTCTGTTAGATAAAATAAATACAAAACTAATGTTTTAACTCCTTTTCCACTTTACATTTAGAGAAGTATAAAAGCATTTCACACATCTCATAAAAATAAGTACTATATTTGTCTGTTTAATTCAAGGTCAATGCCTTGTTTACATGCTTTGGGTTTTAATTTGAGGTGACAAGGGACTAAAAAAAAGGGGGAGCCACTGTTTATACACAGGAGCAACTGGCTCTCTATTTTTAATTTTTATCTATTTTCTTTGTCTCAATCCCCAGCCTCTGAGCCCAACTTGAAGGTGCGGTCCAGGTTAAAACAGAAAGTGGCAGAGAGGAGAAGCAGCCCCTTACTCAGGCGGAAGGATGGAAATGTTGTCACTTCATTCAAGAAGCGAATGTTTGAGGTGACAGGTAATTGAGGATTGGACAGACACACACTAAAAAAAATGCTGGTGGCAGGAATGAAAAAGAAAAGTTTAGAATAAATATGCCTGTTGCATTTGAGGAGAAACATTTCTTGAAACAAGATTATATTGAAAATTCACTAGTAGTTCAGTATTCACCAACTGTGTTAAACAGGAAATGAATGAAAAACAGAAAAATGTGTCAATCTAGGCATAACTAGGGAAGCCAAAGCTCACCTTAATCTTTTCAGAAACAGGCAGTCCATTCAGGGAATGCCAACCAGGAGGATATAACTTTTAATGAAATTTGATGAGAAATGAGCAGAGGGAGGTCGGAGAAGAACACTTCCCCATACTCAGACATGAATGTACGAAATACATCTGGGAAAATTAAACTACGTGGAACAGCAAACCTTGACTTTTCAACAAATTTACAGAACTCATAAATGACTTTATGTGTTTACTAGTGAACTGGGACTTATGGCAGGAGGGGGATATATTGCCTTTTATGAAGGGAAAGAATCTGTCATTTTCACTAGTCTCAAATGGAAGAGTTCTTATTTTTTTAGCTGCCCAGTTAGTAGTGGGGTGAACAGGTTAGGAAATTCAACCTGATGTCTTACAAAGCCCCCTAGTCCCAGTTGTACCTGGTCTGAAATTAGAGAAAACCTAGGGATACAAGAACCAAAAAGGCTAGCCAAAACAATAATACCAACTACTGTTTGGTGAGTACCTACTTAAAGCTATGCATTATGGCTGGTCATTCCCTTCAGTTGCATCAATAAAGAAGTGGTAATCTACAACTATTTTTCTTCATTCTCAAGGAAAATTGTTCTTATACAAATGTAATCAGTTGCTGTATTATTTCTCCAAGACCAGATTCTATTCTTATCAGATTTCTAAAAAGTATTTTCTGTATCTCCTTTGCCAATGGTGATGTCTACTCTGGGGAGACAATATATAGAGAGGATACTAATGCAATTTATTAGTTTGACGGGTTGTTTAGGGAGAAAAGTTTAGTCTTCTATTAAATCCTGACAGATTAATATGTTTATCTGAAGAAAAGTATTAGTGGGAAATTTTTTCCTTGAGGGATAAGCAATATTAAATAAAGAAAGAAAAATTATTTTGACTAGAGTTTATATTTATTTTACACTATAAAATACAATCACTAATTTAGATTAATTGGATTCTACACTAAGAGTTAATAGACTTTTTTTTCAAGTAAAAATCTTAAGTTTTCATAATAGAGGTCCTTGGTGTGGTTGGAGAGTTGGGGAGTGAAGCAGTGCTTTAATGAATACAAAGAATAATAAACATATTAATTGTCTAATATAATAAATATAGGTGGTTTTTCTAACTGGAGAGAGCAGACTCCCTCATAACAGAAAAACTTGAAGTAAAGAGAAAAACATATAAATTGCTTTTTTTAACTTTAAATTTTTATTATGTAAGGTCATATTTATTTATCCCAATGTTCTTTTTTACTTTCCTCTTAATCTCTTTTCTTTATCATAACCCTTTCTCTACAGTCACATCATTCTTAACAAATTTCAGTGAAATTTAGCTTAATGCCTATCAGAGTTATGACTAATTCTCATTTATAAGAGTTCCCATTTGCTAGTGTTTTACTCGAGTTTATTTTCTTTTGAAATGTCATGTTTTTCTCTTCCTAATTTTGAGAGGTAATGACTCCCCTTTTCATGTGAGAATAATAATGTGTATTCAGAAAGAGGCCTGTGCATTTATTAGACACACATTTCTAGTAAATGAACAGAGACTGGTAGATATTTTAACAGGCTTGTTGTACTCACTCTAAATGTGTTCAGAGAATGTGAATTACAGGACACACAGCTTTCTTCACCTGTCCTCCTTGTCCTTTCTCTGCCAGCTGTCGTGTCATTTGGGTGAGCTCTGTTTGGATCTTAATGCTAATTATTTTTGCTATCTGGTCAGAGAGTAGCATAGCATCCTAGCAGTTAAATCGCTCTTGCTTTTGGCGCTCACCTCTGTATCTCGTCTCCAGTGCATAGGCTCAGTGGCTGCTGTCTGACACCCATACCACCTCTTTCCTCCCAGTAGCTGACATGGAACCACTTGCCACCTTCCTCTGTTTCAAACTCAGGTTTTCTGCCCTTCTCCCTACCCAGGCCATGTTATTTTTTCAGTTCTAGGCCTTAGCACATCCCTGTGCCCATGACGCCCTCTCTCCCACTCCCCCCTTCTCCATTGTCCCATTTCCTGAACTACTCTTAGTTAAGTCCTTGCTGCAATATCTTTTCTGAGATTTTTTCTCATTGTTCCCAGAAAGTTAGTTGCTACATCTCCTCCCAGACCTTTTCCAGTGGGAAGTTGTAGAATCCTGTTCCAATATGTGTTGCCTTCCATTGTAGTGCTTATCACAGTGATTCTACATAAGGAAATCCTTCTGTCTGAATATAACATAAGATCTTATAAATAAGATTTTATAAATAAGATCTTTTAAATTGACAAGACAGAATGTTTAAGGCAATAGTTCCTGTTGTTTTTTTTTAAAGGTAGAGTATGGAAGTGAGATATCAAGGAAAAGTCAGTACTAGTCATATAGGAAAGACAGGAGTTAGGAGTCTGGGGGTGGAAAAGAAGCTTCTAGGAGGATTTTTTTTTTTAAATGTGCATTTTCTTCTTTAAAAGAAAAGTAACCAAGACAGGCAGAGGTTAAAAAAAAAAAACAAGATTGATCAGAATGTATGCAAGATATACAGACAGAAAGGTAGTGGGCAAGATATGTTTAAGAATTTTATGATACCCAAGACTTCATGAAATCCCACAGTAAGTAGGTAGCAGGATCAGAATTCTGTCGTCCATCTCACCTTCTTTCCTTTGGAATGGCACCTCTCAGTAGAGAAATCTTGATAAAAGAAAGTTGAAATTCAGGGGTGTTCCAAGGGAGGACAGGCAAATATTGACCACAGATTGGGAGCTCCTGTTCCCTGGCGGACAGATGGTGTATGAGCCAGGCTTTGATCTTCGAGGTGGGATTGGGCCTGCAATGAAACAAGTGCAGGAGAAGGTGAATGAAAAGCATGAAATGGGGCACTTAATGCAGAGTAGGCGATTTAAATTTGAGCGTAGAGCACAGGAAGGACAATAACAGAAAGTCATGGTAAGTTCCATTTGGAAGCAGGGGAATGTCAAATGGTGTCTGAAGGTCATTAGGGAGGTCAGACTTATACATCTTTGCACCCAGATGAGGTTTGGATTTTGGACTTTCGTGTTGCTTTAGAAGTACATTCTGGAACTTGTCCCTTTCCCTCTTTCCTTAGAGTTTCCTCACCTGGACCTGACCAAACCTTTCTGAACCAGCGCCACACCATGTTAAGTAGCCAATAGGAATAGTTTCTTTGGTTCCAGCGTGTGGTTTTTGCCTTTATAAGCTCTAGCTATCTTTGTCTTCCCTGGGGCACAGGTCGGTTATCCCTCTGAATCTGTGTCTCCCAGATCCAGTTTGTTTTCCATTGCAGATAAACTTCTAATCTAAACTGTTTGACAGCCTCAGACCTTTATTGGTGGGCAGGCACATTGGAAAACTTGTCTCACTATGACCCATCTCACTGGCAACAGTTTAGGGGAAAGTTTCAAGAGGCTACTGTAGTAACTCAGAAATATTAGCAGACTTTTCTAGAGTCTCTGAGAGAATAATGAAGGTTGAGGGCTTAAATCGAACCGATGGTAGTCAGAAGTAGAGGAGAGATCATGTAAAGAACAAATAGAACTAACCTAGTAGCTGATTAGTGTGGGGGTAAAGAAGGAAGTGAGAATGACTCTGAGGGTGGTGGTAAGCAGAGATAAGCAGAACACATTTAATACTGGAGTACATTGAATTTGATTCATATATAAAGATAGATTTAAAATGCCCAGCATCCCAAAAGGATTCAGGCTGGAATTTATGAGAGGTAAAGGCAAGAAATATAACTTTCATGAGGTGATAGGGGATGTCACAATATTAAATGATTTTGCAAAGGAAAGGGACTAGGGATAAGGCCACAAACTTAGGTGAAATATTCACAAATGTGCCACCGTTCTTTTTATTTACCAAAATGGTGCTTGTCCTTCCGTTAGGGGATAAAAACAAGGTTCAAGGCTGTATACTTTTTAGAGTATAACTAAAGTACAGTTTTTATGTTTTTCGTGAATAAATTGGTGCATCCGAATGTTTTTCAGAATCCTCAGTCAGTAGCAGTTCTCCTGGTTCGGGTCCCAGTTCCCCAAACAATGGCCCAACTGGAAATGTCACTGAAAATGAAACTTCGGTTCTGCCACCGACTCCTCATGCGGAGGTAAGACTCTTATTATTTTGGTTCAGCCAAAAGTTAGATCTTCCTTGATAAGCTCCTGAAAACAAAGTGACATTTCTGAATGGAAGATTAAAGCCACCTGTTCTTAGTGCCTTTTCTTATAAATTTATAAAATGTGTAATTGAGTAAACTTGACCTTATTTACAAAGTTTGGACACAATCAGATTTGAAATATTGAAATGTCATTCTTGTACATGCAACGATGCTGAGTATGTGCTTCCCAGAAGTTGAGCAGCTCAGTAGTCCTTCTGCTTGGATCTTGGTTATTTTTATGGGAGTAGACCTATCAGTAAGTATAAAAGCAACCTCATACAAACCTCAAAGAAGAACAGCATAGCAAAGTAGGTTTTATTCATTTAACCTAAAAAGAAATTTTAAAAAAATGGAATATTATAGTTGAAGAACAATGTAAAAATTTGCTCCACTGAGCAAACACTTAAGGACCTACTATGTGCCAGTCACTTTGCCTGGCAAGGGGGATATAAAGATCAATAAGATATGGGCTTTGTCCTTGAAGAACGAGATATTAAAGAAAATTGGTCTAAAATAACACATACTCATGTTTTTTTGTGATTGTATCCAATGAAGTGTATTAACATTTGTTTTTCAATGAATACTTTCTTAAAACCAGTGATAATAAGAAAAGAGGAAAGTAAGTCAGGAGTCAGCAAGAATTTGTCTGTGGAGTTTCTGTATTAGGCTAAGCAAAGGCAATAGCCTAGAAGTAGCTGCTCTTGTGGAATCAGCTGTGTTGAAGTTGCTGTCAATTGATTGAAACTCTCTGTTTTTCTTTTCTGTCATTGTAATGCCTCCTGCCCATGCATTGCTTTATACAGGAAAAGCTGGTGCGATAACTTCTCATTTATAGCTGTGACATGCTTCTTCCCTTGTATTTTATAGAGTCATGGTAACTTGAGGCTGAAATAGACTGATCAAATATCTGATTCTTGGATCATCTATATATTGCTTTCCTGATATGTAATTACGAAACTTCTACTAGAACACTTCTACTTGCAGGAAGCTCACTTCACTGTCTCCCACGACAATTCTGTTGATTTGGGACAGGGAGCGTGACTAACAGAAATGTCTTCTGTATCTTATGCCACGATCTGTGTCTCTAACACACACACTCACACACACATGCACACAGATTTATAATAAATTATTTCTAAATTATTTGACTAAAATACAATTGAAAGCAGAAACCCAGAGTGTATCCATGGAAGCAAAGGGCTGAAGCCAATGAGGTCATGTTTGCTCCTAGGACACATGTGTACGTGGGTTTTAGTTTTCGGGCCTCACAAAACTCAGTAGATAGAAAAGGCCAATACTGACCAAGGAGGATAATGCAATAGGAGACCCTCCAAACCTTAAGCTGGGGTCCCAAAGGCCCATATCTATGCAACATTGACAACCCCACCCCCAGACGTGTCCTGATAGGGACCACAGTGGTGCAGAATCTTTCCCTTAGAAATTGTAACCAAAGCTAGTCCTTGCATAGAGTTATAACCCAAATTTACAGAACCTCAAACTGTTAATTTGGTTTAAAGTGCCCCAGATTTGGAGTTCCCCTAAGTTTCTGGAAAAAAGAAAACATAAATCCTTTCTAGGGAAATATACATTTATCCTAAATTTCAAAAATGTCCCTCAATTTTCCGAGAAAAATGGGTAGAGTATATAGGTACTGTCTTGCTTGTAACCATTGTTGAACTAATTGAAGAATAACAACTCTGGCCTCTACATTCTCTCCAGGCCCTTGATCTGTTTCTTGTTTCTTACTATTACTGTGGCTCTTCATTCCCTTTTTTATTAACTAAAACATAATGCCTGATGGAGTAAATACCTCACATATATTTGTGGCCATAGATGTAAGTGGGATTTTTGGACTTTTGGTTATAGGTATTGTATTTGTTAGTGCAATTATATCTCCAGGATTGGTCAGTTTTTAGCAACCCTTTAGTCCATTTACAGGAAAAGAACAACTTGGTAACAATTATTTCTTAAGAATGTCAGATTTCCATCCGTTGTCATTTTAAAGAATGTGATTCTTGGTAATAGCTGGAATACTGAAGGGTTCTAAAGGGTTTGGCTCTGGATGAATTTGCCCTTGGGAAAAGAAAAATGACACAGTAAACTACATTCGACAGCATATGTGAGTCCCAGAAATGCATTGTTAGTGCGAAAAGGTGCAGACGAGCACTTCCCAGCATGGCAGTGTTTTATAGGTTCGGAAGCAGCAGCGTGGCATTTTGATCAGGAAACCATATGCAGTAACAGTATATTTTTAAAAGGCAAGGGAGTGATGAACACAACGTTTAGCATGGCGGTTAACTCCCAGGAGGGAAGAAGGGGTTAGTGACACGGTCAGTTACTAAAGAGGAAGATGCATATATTCATCCATTATAATCACCTATGTACATGTAGTACTTTGTACCACATGAAGGAACCACCAAGAAATATTATATACTCATGAGATTGGAAATACATGGGAAAGGTGAGAGTTTCCTCTTTCCTTCAAGCTTTTCATGATCCTATCTTTAAATTTCAAAATAGGTACAGTGGAGAATGTATTAGTAAAGGAAAGGAATTTGCTTATATTATTTTTGTCCTTTTTATATTCCTAAAAGGTTGACTGTCACAAATATTTGTTTAGATACCCAAGAATTTCAGCTAATTGTTGAACATCTTATGTCACTAGAAACTTTCCTTCCACCCCCATTGTTTTAAAAAAAAATCCCACAAAAAATAAAAACCACAAAAGCAAATAAAAACCAAACCAGAAGGAAATGTGATTTAGTGCAGTGTGAAGGAGCAGAGGTATTTCTTCAGGTCAGTGCCAGGACATTCACTTCCAAAGCTGGAAAGACTAGTTCAAAAGCAAGTAGTGACTTACCCCATAATGAATTAATTGTGTGCCTGAACTATGAACCAAAAGGCCAGGTGGGCAGACCTTTCTACCCTGATGGGTAGCCTCTCCATGGCCCAGAACAAAAAATTCCATCCTGATGGCTAACATGTGGTTTTCTGCTGCGTTGCGTTTACAAGGGGTCTGTAATGTACCTCATCCTGGAAAGGTGAGGAGACAACACAAGTCAAGCTCAGACTCTCAGCCAATTAATATCTTTGTTACACTGAAAGCTCCCACTTAACCTGAAGAAGAGATAAACAAAATATGTTCAGTCAATTCTTGATTAACAACCATTTTGAACTTAGTATGATTTTTAAAGACATATTATAAGATTAATAATAACATATAATTTTATATCAACCAGTGTTGGAGGTCTGGAAAATTAATAGCATTAACTACACTTTCAAAAATCAAGTGAGTTGCATACCTCACCATTTACAAAATAGTGTAAGTTGCTTAAGTACCAGGGGTGAGTTTTTCTTTGAAAATAATTTAACCATACATGTGCGAATGAATTCTTTATTCTGTGTTCTGTGAGTAGAAAAGCATGTCACCTCATTCTTTCAGAGCCCATGTAAATGAAAGGGATTCTAATCCCTCCTGCTCTTTGGGAACGAGGAAAGCAAGCCTGTTTCTCAGTTTTCTGCCTTGTAATCCACATATGCTGCATAATTTAGGTAAAGGTTAAGGCAGAAGTCGGAGGAGAATTGACTCATAAGTCCAGAATAAGGGCACAGAACCGCGAATTCATGTGGACGGGTCTTCCTTTCAGAAGGCTTCTTGGGAACCTCGTCTGGTAACCAACTACTTTGTTATCATTGGTTAAGTCCTTAAACTTGGCCTGGATCTCAGGTCTAGTGAAAGGTAGTCACACCTACCCCCACGGCTTGTTGGGCGGAATCAGTGTTTGCCAGGCAGGTGGTACATTGGAAGTGGGGCGCAAGTTCATTTTTTGTTGTTGTTATCAGCACTGATGCCTCATAGGGAAAACTCATTAGCATGTTTGCCTTCCAGCCAGCACATCGCATGTGTGAATGGGCCTCCGTCTGCTCTGACCACTTCTGCTCCATTTCTTCTCTTTCTTACATATGCTCAGCCCAAACTCAGATGGTTGGAGCTACCTCCTTTACGCATTGGAACACGTGGCTGGGGAGCTGAAACCTAAGGAGTTTCTATTCCCAACTCCAGTCAGAGATGTCTTTACCTATCTAGTTACTTTATTGTTAATACGGCGGGCTTGTGGGTTCAAATATGTTTCCACGAATCTCAACACCATTATTTTAGTTTCGTGGATTTATTTGATAGCTGTTGTAACAGTAGCCAAGCAGCTGGTTTATTTCTAGTTGAACATTAGTGGCTGGCTCTGCTGTGCTATTTTTTAAATAATTTTTTCCACTAAGATACAAACGATTTTTTAAAAGGATTCTAATAATAAGGTTAAGGACTTTAAAGTCATCGGAAATGGCGGTTCTCACATGACTCATCTGCCTATGGCTTCATAATCATTGTTGTGACATTTGTTGTAAATGTTATGCTCCCTCCTGAGTGGGTGTAGGGCTATGGTTTTAGATGGCAGGGCATGAAAACCCGCTTTCTCCTCCTGGGGGAAAAGAGGTTGCTATGACAAATGAATCTTTTTCTAGGAATAACATGAGTCAACATTGTAAAGCAAGACCTTTTAAATGCAAAGGAAGTCTTGTTAAATGATAATTTCTTTTTGGTCTCCAAACCATATTATAGTAATATATTCTTCAGTCAAAATAAAAATTTAGAAATTTTTTTTTACTGCTTATTTCATTTTTCTATCAGCTGTCTGAAAGGAGAGGAGAAAATAAATACTATCTAGAAAAATAATGTGAAAGCCATAGGCAAACACTGAAAGATTAAGAGAGTTGTTTGTTTTTAATGTGGTATCTTCTTTTTAGATAGTTTAGATTTGGGGGTTGGGACCTTTTAAAGACAAAACAGACATCTTCATGGAAGCTATTCTTTTGTGTGTTTTTTAATTTATCTTTATTGTAGAAAGTATTACAGGTGCCCCCTCCCTCCCTTAACCCCTTCCTCCGCCCTTCCCCTGGCCTTCACAGCACTATTGTTTGTGTCCATGGGTTATGCCTGGATGCTATTCTAATAGACACTGACATTATCTGATAGACTAGTCAGAGATGCCTCCGTCATAGACTGCAGGGTCTGATGTCCAAGGTAGGTAGGCAGCTGCCCAGAGTTAAAAGCCAGTGAGGGGTACAGCTCAAATGCAAAACGTTCAGCATATACTTCTTTTCACTAGGCCTGACCATTTCTCACCAGAACTCTAGATTAGAACGTTCTTTTTCTAAAGCTCATGCATTTTGTAGGTCATTTTGAACGCCCAGCAAACTGAAAACTCTTCATCCACTTTTTCTATGAGCTTCTTATTATTTACATAACCAGTGTTGTCAGGAGTCATCTGTTGACTTCCTTGCCTTATTTTCTGTCTATGTGTATTTCATTTACGTGGATTGCAGATGTTATCCATAAGGTAGGCTTCCAATTACTGTGCTGGTGAGAAAAGTAATTAAATTTTGAAGATCATTATTAAAATGTGAGGAGACCTCCCCTGCCCTGACACCTGGTTCAGTCATATCCCTCTTCTCAGGATCATGCTCTTTCTGGCTAAATGCTCATTACCCATCAAAGCCTGGTTTAAAACCAACACCCTGCTCTGTGCCACTTCAGTCTTTAACCCTGCTCCCGCCATGGTAATGCTTACAGGCCTTTAGCATTAGTTCTCCACTTCTCCGTGCAACTGAAGAACATGTGAACTTAGGTGGTATAGGACATCTAGGTGCTATAGGACTTCTTTGTATGCCCGCCGCCTGTACCACACCATTCATCTAATTGATACTCATTAATTGCTTTGTGACTGTTAAGTGATATCCATGTATATATTTAATGTTTTCACTTGGTCTAACTGCAGCAAGCATTTCTGGTCCTGAAGATTTTTTTAGATTAAAACCATCGTCCCCACATTCTAAGATGTGAAACACTGGCTTCCTAGCACAGCACTGATTTAAGGGCTGGATCTGTTTCAAAACCACTTGCTGGAAAAATCCTGGTTTTGCCTGAAAGCGCTTGTGAGCTCAGCACAGAGCTAAGCTGGGGTAACCATCCAGCCTCACAAGAATCCTGGGCAGGATCCTTCCTAGTTTGCGTGAAATGGCACCTCTCGCCACCTGTTTTCCTGGCTTTCAAGTGTGTCTGCCCTCTGAGCTATGTAGATTACAGCTCCAGGTTCTTAATTAAGATCCATGAACCTGGAACTGATAGACTGCTCCCATCAAAAAGCCAAATTGAGGAAAGTTATAATTAAAGAAGATAATTTGGGGAAAGCATTTTTCAGGTCTGTTAAGTCATTTGCAATGTTAGCCATTGGAAGTCGACATAAATGCTCTGCCTGTTTCCTTATCTGTAGGATAAGGAAAAAAAGTAAGTCACATCCTATTTTCTGAAGTTCACCGTCTCTGTGGGCAGATCTGACAAGTACCAACTCTCCCCTGTGAACTTGGGAGCCTTGCATCCATAGTGATACCAGGTCTTTTGCTTTCTCCTCATTGCCAGGTCAGCTGGACGCTTCTATTCTTTTCCATAAGCCTCAGGCCTGATTTTGCTTCCTTTTCTTCTCTAAAGTCTCCCTCTTCTCCATGGTTTTTTTTTTTGTTTTTTTTTTTGTTTGTTTGTTTGTTTTACCAGATTCCTTATCCTTCAGTAATGCTACAGAGTGGTGGATAGCTCCTGCAGCAGACCCTGACAAAAAGTCATGTCACCTGGATCAGTTCTAAAGTTTTATTACCAATCCCACTAGGAACCAGAATTGGAGAGATCACTCAGTTTCTCCATCTATAACATGAGCACAATGGTAGCTGGAGAATGCCTCAGGAAAAAATAGCTTATCATCCAAAAAAAACCCTGGCACAGGGCTTGGCATGTGCTAGGTGCTGAGAATCAATACCCTATGGTAGGAAATGGACACACTCACATTTTGATGTGAAACTACAGGGGTCTGAAATTCGTTCCCCTTAGCGTGGGTAGCCATGTGCCACTTCCATCATTCCATCTGAGAGTAATACTTTTCCATTTTACTTTTGCATCCTGGGATGCATGGGAGGGTATCACAGAAGTTCTACCTGGGAAACAAAGATAACAGCCTTGTGAGGTCTGTGATATATTTTTCTGTCCTTCCCATGGTGCACATTAAGTCTTAGTGCTGTGGGAAGCAGGTAGGACCTGGAGTGAATATTCTACATCATTTTCCATGTTTATTTATCTTGTATGAATACAGATAACAATTTATTATGAACTAGGGGCCCAGTGCACGAATTTGTGCACCTTGAAAGGATCTATGGGCCCACAGGGGCAGGTCTCGGCCCATCCTCCATGTCCCCGCCCAGCCCCTCCCGCCATGGCCCTTGGTCCCCTCTCTGCCAGCAGCTCCGCTCCTGTCACTGCCGCTGCTCCCACTCGTGTCAGAGCAATTGGGGCTGGTGCCAGCAGCGGGTCCCAAGAGGTAGCTGCTGCCCAGATCACCTCTCAGGAGCAGGGGGAGGTGGAGAAGCCCTCAGGGGCGATCGGACCAGCAGCTGCTGCTTGCACCCACTGACAGCTCCAAGTGATCGGACCAGCTCCAGCAGCAGGTGCGAGCGCCAGGCAGGACTGAAGCTCACAGGAGCAAAGAATTTTCAGTAACCACCAGGGGCTCGCCTCAGTGACAGTGACTAGTGCCCGCTTTGGTCGGGCACCCCTACTCACCTGCTCCACCATCCTGCCATGGCCAATGCCCGCCATTTTCTGAGCTCTGCTGCTTGCTACCAATGCCCATCATGTTCTGCATGCGCCCCCGGGTGGTCAGCACATGTCATAGTGACCGGTTGTTTGGTTGTTCTGCTGTTTGGTCTATTTGCATATCAGGGTTTTATATATATAGAGATTACCACATACTGTCAGTGAGCTAGCTAACATTTTTACTTCCTCATTCATTCTTTCTGTTCTTGTTCAGGTATCTACTTTATACTTAAAATTTATGTTAAAAGAATATTAGTGTAAGCACAATAGCAGCTTACCATTTTAATTAGAGCAAATACACAGCTGTTTCTCATAACCCCTAAAATGAAATTGCAATCTCGCACATTGCAGTGAGGAACTCCTTTCCAGCTATCTTCATGCAGTAGCATTTTAGACAACCTTGAAAAGGGTTACATATAAAGCCAACATGACTTTAAAAGTTTCAGTATACCTCTAGATTTTCATGCACAAATATCTGATTTGTTCTTTAGAGAAAAAAAACAAACAAAACAAAATCGGAGTTATCTTGGAATTTCAAGTTGGAATGAGAAAAATCCACATTTAACCTTCTGCCTTTATGATCCTAAGGCTATGACTCATCTCCAAACAAACGCCTGATTGAGGTGATGTTTTGGAATAACATCCTGTGTTTTGGTGGCGCATCACTCTTCAATGACAGTCTGAGGTCGCATTGTATGAGCACATGATATTCCCCCCAGTTAATTGATATCCCAGGTTTGTCCAGGGGAAAATCTACAGCTCCCCCAAACATGCTTGACAAGTTATTATATTTACTTTAGTCAAAGCCCGTGTGTGCAATCTCCCTCTTGGAGGTGGTCTATTATTGGAGTCCCATATGCTTTTTGTTTGGGAAGAAAGCAGTCACTGTGTCATACTGTTACATGGAGTATTCTTTTTCAGGGATGTTGTTCCCTTGGGGACCATATCAGGCCAGAGTTCCTTAGTCTAATAAGACCTTTGTAACTCTTTTTGTATAAGAGTTCTGGGAGGGAGGCAAGAATTAAACAGAAAATGTAATTCAAGCAACCATATTAGGCCACATGTGGGAAAACATGGCTCTGAGTATTGTATTAAAAAAAGATATTTGTTGTAAAAAAGGAGTGAGATGCCAAAATGTCCAGCATATTTCAGTGAAAATGAAGGCTATTGTGGTACAGGGAATTAATAACATTTTAACGTTGTCTTTCGTTTCTAACTATGAATGGTCAAAAAAGCACCACACAGCTGTCTATTCACAAATTTTATATTAAAACATGATTAATTATTATGGAAGTACTTTATAGTGATATTTAATCTAAGATTTTCTTGTGTGAGTTTTCCCATCAGTAAAATGATGTTTAACCCATATAAAGATAATGATTTTATATACATATATATGTATATATCACTCAGTAATACAAAAAAGTATATATACTCATAAGAATTATTCAGTTTTATTGTTGTACTTTACTGATTGATGAAAAACACACTGATTTTTATTCATGAGGCTAGAATTATAAAAATGAATATTGCAAAATGACCTATGGAAGCCCTTTCTTCAGATTTTGTAATTATGTCTGAGGAAGATTTTGATTCAGTTTTTTTTTTAAATCTTCACCTGAGGACTGGAGATATTTTTTAAAATATATATTTTTATTGATTTCAGAGAGGAAGGGAAAGGGAAAGAGAGATAGAAACATCAATGATGAGAGAGAATCATTGATTGGCTGCCTCCTGCACATCCCTTACTGAGAATCGAGCCCACAACCCCGGGCATGTGCCCTTGACTGGAATCGAACCCGTGGCCCTTCAGTCCGCAGGCCGATGCTCTATCCACTGAGCTAAACTGGCTGGGGCTGATTTTTTTTACTTATAACATGTGGATACAGAAATCATAAAATAAATGATCAAAATACTTAAAATTATTTTGACTAAATATGATAAAATGAAACTGTTGTCTGAAATCTAAACATTCCACAGTAAAACGTGTGGTATTGTAATCTTTTGAGACTCCTCTTTCATTGTTTTTCCCTTTATCTTTTCTTTATAGCAAATGGTTTCACAGCAACGCATTCTGATTCACGAAGATTCCATGAACCTGCTAAGTCTTTATACCTCTCCCTCTTTACCCAATATCACGTTGGGGCTGCCAGCAGTATCAGCCCAGCTCAATGTAAGTCGCCACTCAGAGCTGCCTCACGCAGCCCCGGTGATGCCTTCACAGGGGCACTCTTGTATATTTAGATTAGACTTCAGGGAAACTTGGTAGAGGCCATTATCCTTCCCTGTTTACTGAGTCGTTCAAAAAGATGTTCGGTCGGATTTCAAATTACAGATTTATACTGGTTTGCATAATAATATATAAAAATAACTAACATTTGTATAATGGTTCATAGCCTTTTTTTTTAAAAAAAAAAAAAAGCACTTTCCAGCTATTTTATTAGCTCCACACGACCATCCCATGAAACAGAGATTACAAGCCACATTTTTACAAAAGAAGAAGCTGAGACGAGTAATGTTTAAAAGTCCAAGATCACGGAGCCAGTAAGCAGCAGGCCTGGCACTCCGCCCGGCCAGTGCTGAGGTGTAGCTTCTGTCTAAAGCACAGCACATATGTTTATGGAATTTATTTTTTGGTGAATGACTTTATTTTGAGAATTTATGTTACTGACTCTATCATACTGAAGAGTACGTATCTGGAAAACCTCTTTAAGAACAATATTAAATTCTTCCCAGGAGACTTAAAGCGAAGAAATTACTTTAAAAGTCCTGACAACTGAAATAGGATATTTTGGAGGTAATTGTCCAACTAGCAGAAGACAACAATAATTATTTTATACATATTCCCTAAAATAATGTATATTTTTGTCATTGTAAAAGAGTTGTAAGCTTTTCATAGAGTAATTCATCTATGAGATGTATGAAAATTAAATTGTGCTTATGCAAAGGTGATGTGATACATTAAGTTTGAAGAGAAACTGGTTCTAACCATTGGCACCAATTTTGCCAATCTTGAGAAGCAAGTCTTTCACTGCATGCAACTTGTCAAATTCACATCTTTTATAATATTCCCAGATCAGGATAATATAAAGAGTGGACTATTTTGTGACCTAATTTGTTTTCAGGATATAAGACCTGTTTATGGGATGATAATGTATGTACAAGCACACCTATAAAGTGATACATTTGAAGGTTGGGTTCAATACATATTATAAAAGCAGTCCAAGGTGCACTTTATATTTTTGGTATTTTTAATAGAGTGGGATGTTGCCTTATGTGATACAGGCACTTATACAAGTGAGGAGAATGCAAAATTTGGATGCTGTTATATATCTGGGGATTGAAGAAAAAAAATGTAGAAATACCAAATTCAATTACACTCTTGGAATTCCACACGAAGCATTTGTAAATAATTGGGCCTAGCAAAAATAAAAAGGGAGTTAGGGATGAAACAAAACTTAAATATGCATGGATATTTTCAAATCTTCACTTACTAAAAATTGTTTTTCTCCTATTCCTGTTTTTCCTATCTCTTCCGATGATAAGCAAATACTGAAACAAAAACGTATGACACATGAATAAGCATTTTATATCCACTCCTCTTTGCCGGCTCTCCGTCAGTCCTATCAGCTAACACAAACATACACCACTTTTAATGTGGTCAGGGGGAATTTTTTTCTCAAAGAACCCAGTCCTAAAGCCAGACCATTTAATGTTTTGATGGTAATACAATTTGGTGCCGTTGGATGAGTAAACCAATGCGGTTTGGATTGAAGTTTCATTTTTCTTTGCTTCCATTTTGGTGTGGATGAGGCCATCACAATTAATTTCTCAAGCTTAGCAAGGCTTTGGCAAAGGGAACTCTAATGTTCCATTTCCCCACTGAGGAGTGGGAAATTTTTAAGGAAAAGAGGCCAAGAGAAGGAATCACTTCTAGATTAAACATTGCGTTGACTTGCTGTGTGACTAAGACAAACCATTTACCTCTTTGTCCTTTAATTTCTCCATCACTGAAAATTGCTTTGCTCCCCTGGCGCACAGCAATTTTGAAAGATGAAACATGAGTTTTGAAAAGAAACATGCCACATAATTTTGAGGCATTAGACTTCTGCTTTTGTAATACCCACATGACCACCATTCATTAAATTATTTGACTAGGATAATTCATTATTACTATTGATGATATAATTGTTATTGCCTTATTACTGTTATCATACATTTCAAGTTCTTAATAGTGTTTTTATTTGATATAATTCCACTTGTAGTTTATTTTATTAAATGAAAGTATCTGGAGTGTCATTTTCAATATTTAGAGATTTGGGGATCTGTTATGAATTAATATAAAATACATGTTTAAACCAGATTCCTGCATGTTTTTTTACAACCTCTCATTGAGTTACCTGAAGAATTTTATTTGAAAAATTAAATATTGGAAACTTACAGCTCTGTGAACTTATTAAAGGAGGAGTAGAAAAAGGACCAATTGTCCCTTCTGCTTGAGGCTCCAAAATCACAGACCATTTTATCTCTAACTTCTTAATGGCTGTTATGTGTCCTTAGGTTAGAAATTTCAATAAATTTTAATTGTACAATATACCTTGTACTTAATCAGTATATTAAACTATTTTAGAAGTTAACTTCCTAGTTATTAAGCCTGAAATTAGCATCATTTTTTAAAAATATATCTTTTAATGATTTCAGAGAGGAAGGGAGAGAGAGAGATAGAATGATGAGAGAGAATCATTGATTGGCTGCCTCTTGCAAGCCCCCTACTGGGAATTGAACCCGCAACCTGGGCATGTGCCCTAACTCGGAATCAAACCATACCCTCCTGGTTCATAGGTCAGCACTCAACCACTGAGCCACACCCCCCAGGCAGCATCATTTTTAATGTTAAAGATCTTTTTAAATTCAGAACAGTGATACCCAATACTCAATTGTCTCCAATGCTTCAACTCTACCTTTATGTCTCTTGTGTCAATTCAGTTAGTTTAAAAGACATGGCTGTTATCCATTTCCCCTACTGAGCCATAGGTAAGATGGGTCTTTTTTTTGCAGGGTTGGGGGGGAGTGCCATGGGGTATGGAATAAAAAAGCTAATGATGTACAGACCTAATGAGCCACATGGATGAAAGAGGATTCACATCTTTATTATTTCCTGACACAGGCTTCAAATTCACTCAAAGAAAAACAGAAGTGCGAGGCCCAGGCACTTAGGCAAGGCGTTCCGCTGCCCGGGCAGTATGGGGGCAGCATGCCGGCGTCTTCCAGCCATCCCCACGCCGCTCTCGAGGGGAAGCCCAACAGCAGCCACCAGGCTCTCCTGCAGCATTTACTGTTGAAAGAACAAATGCGACAGCAGAAGCTTCTTGTAGCTGGTAATTAACAAGGGCGCCATTTGGAGATCATAGGGGGGCTTTTATTTTATCAGCGATGCAATGTGATGTCTTTTTAACTCAAGACACTGAAAAGATTTACCATTTACCAAGGTCTCTCTGATACCTGGTACTGTGGGAAAGGCTATAATCCTTAGTTATTTTTCTAGCTCCATGAAAAAAAAAAAGGTTGACCTTATTTAACCTTCACATACCAGAGTGGAGTACGGGTGAGTCATTGGTCAGATGCACGCCTGTTCAATGCTCTGGCACTTCTGCCTTCACCCCATCCAACCTAGCTTTCTTCCTGTGTATCCTTCATATCTGTGTTGTAGATTCTTGTGTTTTCTTAAGCAAAATTGTATATGTGTACGTGGATACTTTTTTTTCAGGTGGAGTTCCCTTACATCCTCAGTCTCCATTGGCAGCAAAAGAGAGAATTTCACCCGGCATTAGAGGTACCCACAAATTACCCCGTCACAGACCCCTGAATCGAACCCAGTCTGCACCATTGCCTCAGAGCACATTGGCTCAGCTGGTCATTCAGCAGCAACACCAGCAGTTCTTGGAGAAGCAGAAGCAATACCAGCAACAGATCCACATGAATAAAGTAAGCTCCCAAGTCAAAGTGTCATGACCACCATTGTGGCAATTGGGGTTCTCTTCCTTGTTCTATGCACTCAAGCGGAGAATGTTGGTGTATATCATAGTTCAAAGGAGATTGCCATCCGGGCTCAAGGACACCATAACACTACCGGGTTTTTCAGCATCTTTGCGTTCATGAAGTAGCATTTGCAGCAATTTTGAGATTGTAGATGAGCAAAGTCTTTTATGACTGAGCACCTATTTTAATACATAAGGATATGCAGGCACATGTGTGCAGAGCCTCGTATCTATAGCAGAAAAGGCTCGAGGCAGAGTTGAAGGTGGTGAATTGACATCTCAAAAGGTTTGCCCAGGTGCTGGCAGAAATGACAAGGTTAGCCAGCAAGGTATTTTCCAGCAACTCGTATGTAGCCATGTTAGAGCTGGGTTTTTTTTTTTTTAGCATTCCCCACTTTGTTCCAAACAGTGTTTAAAACAGTTTCTCAGAACCTTGTGGTCATTTCCTCCTGGCAGCCCTGTTGTGGCTGAAACGGACAGCGAACGAACGTCTGCATAATACCACATCCTTAGGCAGTCTCCTGCTGAGGCAACCACAAGCAGTGATTGCCACCTAACAGCAGCAGGAGGGCTGGTGAGGCGTTTTCAATGAACTTTTAAGCCAAACTGGCCTACAGAGTTTTGCTACTAGGCTCTGCTATGGTTGATGTACGAAACAGAATCTTCTCATTCCTGGAGAATATTAAGGTCCTGAATATCAAGATTCTATCTCCTCACCTTTGTACTGTATCACCTACAAGTGCCTTATGGAGGCATTATATACTGAGGTATCATATTGAGAAGTGGTGTCCTGTTTACCAATAGACAGCTTAAAACTGGCTTAGTATTACAATGTTTTGTTCTATTGTAAACAAAGCAAAACCTCACGGGCCAAGGTCTACTCATCTTTCTAAGAGCAGTAGGAGAAGGGGATTTTCTCATCTGCTTACCTGATTGCAGGTGGGCCTAGAGCAGTGATGGCGAACCTATGACACACGTGTCAGAGGTGACACGCGAACTCATTTTTTGGGTTGATTTTTCTTTGTTAAATGGCATTTAAATATATAAAATAAATATCAAAAATATAAGTCTTTGTTTTACAATGGTTGCAAATATCAAAAAATTTCTATATGTGACACGGCACCAGAGTTAAGTTAGGGTTTTTCAAAATGCTGACATGCCGAACTCAAAAGGTTCGCCATCACTGGCCTAGAGTGTGTCGCTTCTCCTTGGCCTCCACTTTACAAGGCAGAGCCATGAAGGGAGAAGCATGGGCTGAAGATGACACTACTGAACAGAAATTCTTCCAGCCCCGCCCTTGGATGCTCTCAAAGATTATGCATATTTGTGTGGGATGGAGAGTGCGGGTAGGTTGCTAGCAGTGGCAACTACCAACTACCTCTTTTGCCATTTTTCAGTCTACTGCAGCCTCCTTTATATCATCAGATTAATGCCTCTTTTATCACTATCGCATTTCTCTAAATTATCAAATTATTTTGTATCAAATCAGTCTTACCATAGGAGGACCAGCTTCCTTCTGGTATAGTGGTGTAATACTCATGGACATAAATGTGCTGCTGCATCTGTTTGCTGTGTGATGGTAGAGTTAAGTTTGTTTGTGGACTCACAGCACTACTTAAAACTGCCAGGTATTCTTGAAAAATGGTCCTGTGCCTAGTGAGAAAAATGTATATGGAAGGAGTTATTAGGAAGCCTACTTTTTGCCTGGTAATATTCTGATCTGGATATTTGTTAGATTCCTATGAATACCTTTAAGAATATTTTGGCATACATGTTTTATGACCTATAGCAGTGGTCGGCAAACTGCGGCTCGCGAGCCACATGTGGCTCTTTGGCCCCTTGAGTGTGGCCATGAAGTTTCAATCGCACTGTACGTGCGCACCCGCACGTGGTATTTTGTGGAAGAGCCACACTCAAGGGGCCGCGGTTGCCAACCACTGACCTAGAGTGACCACTGTTTCAGGCTCAAACGGTATGCTGGTGTCAGAGTCTTCATACTTTGGTATTACACTTGAGGTTTCCAAGGCGATGCTCATCTCCATCATGTGGTAGGAAGTAAGATGGAAAGCAGGCATTTGCAGTTGAGCAACGAGGAAGGAAAATTTATCAGAGCCCTTCTCCCATGTGGAGCTGATTCCTTGGAATCTGTTAAGAATTCGTCCTGAAATTAGAAACAAACTTATACTTTTAGGTACCTGTTTGTACAGTGGTTTGATTATGAAATCCTGTCTTAATTAAGCAAAATGAAGTCCAGAAAACTTCAAAGCACAGAGCTGATCTTTCTATACCAACCCCTCTCGGCTCGGGTGTTTAGATTACTCATGCAGGTCTCCCCTTGGCTTTGGACCAAGTCTGTATTCCACATGTTTAATCAAGATGGTATATGCGCATTGGGTATCCTCCAGATTTTGAAAACATTTCACCTGCCCTCCATTGTCAAAGGGAACAGAGAAGAATGTGATTAAAGAAAATATTAAACCTCTCCTCTCTTCTAAAGTATTCACAATAGAGCCATCAAGAAACCAATAGCTACAGTTCACCCTACCCCATCAGGTGATGAAAACATTTATTTCACATTAAATGAGGGCCATAACTTAGATGTCAAAGCTACCAAGTTTCTGCCTAAGAAGATATTTATATGTCCTATAACTATTTAGACTATCCACTAATGAGAAATAAACACAAAACTTTATATCATTTTTTTCCTGTTATCTTGGATGAACTGTATTGAATCCATTCAAACTGGAGCCTGGTAGTTGACATCATAAAAACATGGCCTTTTCTTTCAAAATACTTATAATATCAGGGAACAGGCACATGTGAAGATACAGACATGCAGATGACATAGGTTGAAATGTCTCTTCCTTTTACCCCCTCAACTTCCTTTGGGGAAGAGGAGATTTAGGGAAGCAAAAATGGGGAGTGACAAGAAAGAAAAAATAAGTAGGTTTATTTCTAAACCTACATTATATTAACTTTGATTGGTCTTCATGGTATGGAATTTTTAATGATATATTTCAATTGCTAATGATCTTTAAAAGAATTAGAAGCAAAACTATACTTTTCAGAGCATAGTTTATACAATGATTTACTTACTACATTTTGAAGACTTTCCCATAGCTTGCTATAGTTTGAATGCATTTATGAAAGTAAGTCATCCATGCCTGTTATAACTATACTGTGTAAATGTTGTTAATTATAGTAATTAATTTATCTGCTTTTTGCCTGATTTACAATGACATTTACATGGGAAATTTGTGTGTTGTAAGAATTATTTGCCTCATATAATTATGGTGTAAGTACTCAATAGCTTAGTAGAGGTATCCCTGGGATGAGTTTATATAATATTCATGTTATATCTACACTATAGGGCAAGATAGAAAGTTGAGTGGAAATCCTGTCCAAATGATATATCTCTGCTAATCAGTATAAACATTCTACTCTCACTGAAAGTGTTTTGAGAAGCTTAACCATAAGAAATTCATGACTTAAAATGTTTGTTCTTTTCTCTTTTCGAGACATTGGAAAAATTCAGAAATGCATTAAACAGTTTTTATTGCTAATATATGGTACATACATGCAATGATAACTTGTGAGCCTTTTTTAAAAATCACAAGTTTATGTCAGTATCTTTTACTTTTTTTCTAAGATTTTTAAAATTTGATTTTTAGAGAGTGAGGGAAAGAGAAAAACATTAATGTTAGAGTAACATCAATCAGCTGCCTCATATATGCCCCCTACTGGGGATAGAGCCCAAAACCTGGGCATGTACCCCGACCGGGAACCAGCAACCTTTCTGTGCATGGGATGACCCTCAACCAACTGAGCCACACCGGCCACAGCTCTTTTGCTTTTTTTGTTATTGGAAGAAAAACATGGCTTCTAAAATAGAATTTTCTTCATAAATACAAAAGAAAAGAAAAGTAAGAGTGTATTGGTAATTTTCTTCTGAGCTTGTTTTAAGTTAAAGTATTACTACAGATTTTCCTGTAAAGTAAAACTATGACCAGTGAAAACAAAACACACCTCAATTACTTGGCTATATGTATGATTTTTGAAGTGTTCTGACCACTGCCTATTTAAATGATGGGCAACTCTCAAGTCGCGCCGCCATCTAAATGATATACAGAAATCTTCTGAAGTATCTTCAGGCATTTTTATGGTGAGATAATTTGACGTAGACCACTGCCCCCAGACCAATGACATTTTCCTTTTGAATTCCTTTATTGCTACAGTATTAATAGAATAGCATCATGTCTAATAGTTCCTATTTTAACTAGAATTATTGTATCTTTTCTAATACCTATATTTCTCATATTCATTCTTCCAAGTCCATGTGAGCAGGAATTTAAAGAAACCTTTCTTCATTCAGTACTTATTTGAATTAAATAGTGGTCTGTGCTTCTATCCATTTAGCAAATCATATTGAGTTCTTGCTTTGTGCCAGGCACTATTTTAGGCACACCAAGAAAACAACATTCAGTGTCCTCATAGAGCTTACAGTGTGGGGAGCGGGGGAGTGCGATGTTCCAGTCAACAGTCAGGCACCATGTTAAGTATTAGGATAGAAGACATGAGGGAAGGAGCTTGTTTTCTTTGAGGAAATAAGACTTGAGACTTGTTTGGTTACTTCTCAGATTGTCTTGTCCGCTTTACATCTTTTTTTTTTTTTTACCTTTCTCTTTTTCTTTCTCTCTCTCCCTCTCTCTTTTTTTCTTATACATACTCGGTGATAAATATTTTATACATTCCTATGACTGGACACGAGCCAACACTTAAAAAAAAAGTCACGTAAATCATGAGATGATATCTTATATATGTCAAGGTTCACTCCAGATATAAGTATTTATTATATATTTATTACTGTGATACTTAGGCATTTTGACATGAGAGCTATTTTATCATAATAAAAATATATTTAAGACACGACCAGTAAAGGGCAGGCCA